AGCACGGTGTTATAAGCTTACAAATTTGCAAAAAAGTTTTGCGTACAGACGCAGAACTTGCGTTTCAAGTTATAAAATGATAAATCTTTTAAATTATTTAATATTTCAGATAAAATAATCTTCAGAAACAAATCCTCAAAGCATAAACGAATTAGGATTACGAACCATTTTATTACAGCAGTTCCCATTTTTGTCTGCAGCTATTCACAGGGGGCTATTTTTATCTGTCACAGAAGAGCACGTGATTGAAATCAGAGTAATTAACTGTCTTGATTGCTGTCACGCAGACTTAGACTGGACCTGCTAAGTGGCAGTGCCTGAGCAGTTATGCAAACAATTATCAGCCATGTAATCAGCCTTGAGATTTCTCAACAGGGAGAGTTGAGCTCTAAATGACCATCTATCTAGCTAGAGACATATCTGTGAATATCTTTTAAAAAAATCTATCACTCGCCCTGGTAGAGGGTACGCATGCTTCAAGATACCCTGAGAGCAATTTCTTTTATTAATGTTCGCAACCGTGTTTGAACTTAATTGTTTAAATATTGATATTTAATGTCATTTACAAATACCAATAAAATAACCCCATGAAATAAATGATATATATATATTGAAAAATATGAAAGCCTACCAAGACGAGTTTCATACCTGTTATTACCTGGCTTGGGAATTGCAGCGGTGCATAATTAACAGGTTTTATTGTTAACGAGCTCTTGGTCAACTACAATGCATTTAATATTGCATCAGCAATTAGTAAGCTTGCCAACTGATGACAGTCAATCTAAAAGACTATCAGCTTTTGATATGATCTAAAACACCTGAGGTGACCGAGATCGCGAGCATCGCAACTATTGTCACCGAAGTTAGTAAGTTAGTCACGGAAGACCGTCACAAACAAAGAAAATAGTCAAGGAGTGCTGCAAATTTGGTGAATCCCACGGCAACACACTGAGGCATAAAGAAAATTGCTCAACTCCGTTCAACACAACTTTCCAAAATTATTCTGTCTGTTTGCACCATGCAGCTCAGTTAAGTCTCATTGACCTTTATCCTCATTGTCGTCACAGTACCACTTGACCCAGATCTGTTGCTTCGTTTATGAGGTGAGGTTTACTAAAACGCTTTTTTACTACTAATAGATTGTTTTTTATAATTTTTAAATGGCGGGGATCGATTAAAACATACCTCTTGTGTATAGATTGAGTGCTGAATCTTCAAAATTCGAGAAATGGATTTTTATATGACTATTGTCCTTTAAGCAGTTATTACCTTCCTCGCCCGACACTTCCAATTTACTTCAATTTACTTGTTTTTTTTCAAACATTTTCAAACGATTCCTTTCAATAAACACAATGTGCTTAAAACTTTTATATTAAAGAATACAAAAAAAAGTAAATAACAAATAAATAAGGCTCACGGTGAAAAAGAAATATCGGTTATTACCACCACTGGAATTTTAAGAAACTTTTAATCTATGAAATATTATCGAAAGTGGTTAGAATTAACAGCAAAATAAATTGTATAGAGGAGATGGCGTTTAATGTGCGACTTAAAACCTGCACTAACTGTAGAGTAGGGTGTACGTGAGAGCACACTAAGTTTTTTTCTGAAATCGAAAGAAATTCACGCTACACAAGTTAAACAATATGAATGTTTATTGAAACATGTATTGATTTTGCCAAGCGAAATTAAAAAAAGGACGCAGTTGGTCTGAGCTTTAGAGACGTATTCTTCAATACCCCGTTAAAGTGTAAGCCTACTGCTTAGGACTTGGGATCAATCACTAAATGCTAACATACCCCCAGTAATAATAACTTCATAAACTCATGTTTCAACCAATACTATGATGTCGTACTCTCTCAAAGATATTTTTAATTGATTATTATTTTTGTGCCTTCTCATTCCATGCACGTTCCAGTAAAATACCCTTAACGATTCATATACTGTCCTCCAATTTTGCTCCCGGCCTTGACCGCACCCCTAGCGGCGGGGTTGGAAAAAGATAGGGTTCCAACAATCGATAACCACACCGTCTCTGTGTAATTCCCTTCTTCCGTAGTCAATCTCAATATTCCGTCCAGCATTTTCTGGCTTCTGTTTCTCCGTTAATTCCACCTCTTTGAGCCTCTTCCATTCACTGCGAACTGCAGGGTGAAGATCCTTTTTGATGAATACGTTTTTGTATACATTTCAAGCTTCTTTCAGGCGTCTTGCATTGCTTAATACTTCGTTTCTCTCCTCCTTGGTGCTTAGGCGGACTAATGTAGGTCGCTTTTTGTCCGGCGCAACTTTTCCTAGGCGCATAATTTGTACTGGCTGTATATTTTCCGCACCCACTTTTGACAGAATTTTTCCGCATTTCTCCTCATCTGTTTTTGCACCCTCCATCATCTCACTGTTTTCTGGTAGACCAAGAATGATAATATTGTGATCTCTTTCTTTATTAAGCATCTGTTCCATCAGCCGTTGCTGCTGCATGACCATCTCCCGCAGGCGGTCATGGTCCTGCCTCAGTTGTCGTATCTCTCTCCTGTCTTCTCTCATAGTTTTCAGCTCATTTAATATGAGCTTTAAAGTGCCGCGTATCCCCCCTTCTGTGGAATCATCATTACTGTCGTTTGCCATCTCTAGTTCTGTTTCTGTATCATCGTAAGCTTTCAGCTCTGCAACAGATAATTTAAGCGCTTCCCTAGGCTCTCCTACTTTCATTTTTGCGATTTCGTTTTGTGAGGGCCGTCTTTTTGGAGCGCCACCTGTAGCCATTTTTTAAGTTTCTAAGTTTAGAGTCCCAGGCAAAGAGTCAGTGGTCTGTTTAAACGCGAAAACTGCTCACTAACACCTGACTTCTGGTTTACGTAACAGGCGAGTAGTGGTCAGCGGTGCAGAAAATGCTGATGTTGGTATAAATATGTCCATCAAATGCATTCTAAACATCACTATTTTTTCCTTCTTGCAAAATATATGCGACTGTTCGTTTAAAATAGTCTATATTCAGTTTCAGTATCATTGCTCCACCATAACCATACAAAATCTTAAGTTTTCTTGGAGCTTAGCATAAACTTGTTACCTGCAGATCTGTGACCTTGACCCTCTTCCATATTCAACTTTAATAAGCTCATGAAATCTGAAGATGCAACTCTCTTGACAAATTTGTCAATGTATGTGTATGAGTGCTTCAAACTTAGGGATATACACATGTAGAAGGCATAAATTTGACTCCTGTTACTGTAATGTAATATAGGCTGGTGGCCTAAATTTACGTAAATAAACATCATTATTAATAATAACTTCAAATAATTGTGCAATTTTTCATTTGTTTTATCTTTCATTTCGATTATTTCTTAAGCACCGACATGTTTGTTAAATCTGTAATTATTTAATTGTAAATTGACTCTGTTTGCCTCTCTGCCTCATTACATGAGCATGTTTGGTATTACCATAAACAAAAAAGTCCCCTTACAGCTAGAGCCCTTTGTTAAATAGGTAAACAAGGGACATTTCTGTCAACCAGCCGTTTTAAAATTGTGTAGGAGTAAACAATATGGCGGGATTCCCCTTGCCCAACGCAGCGCGGGTTTAATTGTAATATTTTAACGATCGCAAGCGTCTTCTCCGTGCCGCCCGAACGTATGATGCCTTTTAACTTCAACGACGCAAAGCACCCTGTGCACATATTTATAAACCACTTGAATCTCTTTTGATCACGTCTTTCTAGCAGCATTATAATGCAAGTAAGTATAAAAGAGGACTAAGAAACGTACCTGCGTCTAAATGTCGGAGAAATCGTCGGTCGTTAAATGTTATCGATCCCCTTGTTTGCACAAGTGTTCACGGGAATTTTTTTTAAAAAAGCGAGAATTCAGTTAATGAAACGGACCGTTGAATACTAGGTCTCCGTAAACATACAACATTTACTCAAAAGAAGTGGGGTTTTTAAACGACTGTATAAAGTTATCAGAAATCTGTTCTGCTTTAAGACATGTAAACTGTTGTTCAAATAAAAAACAAGGTGTGGGGAACCCTAAGAATGTAAACACATTTTACGTCTACTTCCTCGATAATTCATAAGGAAGCTGGGAATGTTTAAATGCAATGACATATCCCTGACTAACAAAACAAATATTGTAGCTGATATCTCTTTCAATAAATACAGTCATACGTTTTGCTGTGTTTTATTTTTATTTCATTTATTTTTTTTAATTATTTTATTATTATTATTATTTTTTTTGTAGTTTTTCCATTTCAGTTTTGCTTTTTTCATTACTCCATTAATTGAATGCAAATTTCAATAATATAAAATGTTCAAAAGATTAGTATTTTATCTTCCGGAAGACTTATTAGACTTATTGTACTCGGTTTGGTCACATTAATCCCTGGTCCATCACAAAATAAGTTAGTTGGTTATACACTGTATCCGGATAACATTAAATTTCAAGACAAACAAGTTAATTTGATTATCAATAACTACTTTATTTCATGGAATCAAATATTGCTTCGTAAATACACTGTAAAATTGTTGAATAAAAAAATTCAATAGCCTGTAACTCCGAAATTGTGACAGTTATATCATCGGACTGAAATTAACTGAATTTGTCCTTTAGGTTTTCATAATTATGATCTATCTATAATACCATTAATTTAAACAATATTCCAAGTGTATAGTCATAAAGCAAAGAAGCTTCGAAAATCGCTCGATCAAGTTCTGGGTAACCCGATAATAAACTGATAAGCAATGTTTGAAGCACAAAATTCATTTCCTTTGGCAAAATAAGCAAACAATAGAATCATGAATTAAAAAAAAGACTAGATTGTGATACTTTATCAACTTACATGTATCATTTAATTTCAATAAATCCATTTTGCAATTTAAGTATAATGTTGGAAGTCACTGTGATCACCCTATATCATAAAAAATATTTTCATTTTTTATCTATATGATTGATACTCTATCATTTCTTATTATTACTAAATTTTTAAAAAATTAACAAATTATTGTCTAATAGACCCAGTCCAAATCCCTAATGACATTCATTCAATGCACAGGTCTAATTGGAGGGGGGGGGGGGTTATGCACAAACGTACGTTTTGGTACAACACGCACCTCATCACCCAAAAATCGAGCTTAAATCTACATTCCCAGAGCACTGAGCATCAAAAACTTTCAGATGCTGACCAGAAAAGGTAAACATTTTGCAGCAGACGACAGTTTTGTCGGGGAACGCGTACGTGGAGCTCTGTGCCGAGCCGCAAGATGGCGCCACCTTGAAGAACGCCACGATTCTTCGGCCAGGAGGGGCTATGTTCACTGCCGCATTCTCACACATGAATTGCCCAAGCATCTTCTTCTCGCCATTAACATGTATGTCATCAGTCAGGGTTGTGTTGGCCAGTCTTAACTTCGCCAAACGCTCACAATCCACAGGGCAGCGCTGTAACACATTAGCACACTGGGGGGACAGGCCGGGGGTTACTTGGGTGGTGGGAAGAATCTGTCGGCGCTTCTTGGTGTTGAAAAACTGGGGGTAGATATCCGTTATCTTCAAAGTTTGGTCGTCGTCTGCTAGCCACACGTCATCTTGACCCTGACCATAGATAATATCTGGTAGCTGCAGGAGCAGAGGACCCGGTGTGGTGGAATTCTCCTCTGCATGGAGTCTACACCGGCATCTTAAACGACAATAATAAGTAAAAGGTTTAAGCATACATTTAGTATAGGTTATCGCTCTCCAGTTATTCAGATATTCTTTGATTCACTGTTTCAGTATTGTGTGTCACTTTCCTATAGGGGATACTAGTAGACTGGATAATGTCAGAAAGACACAAAAAAAAGTTCATGGATTTTCATTTTAGGAACGGTTTTAGAAAGCGTAACCTTTATAACTCGATGAAGCACGGATAATCACATACATAAATTATCAGAGAAATTATTTTGTTGATAAAATGATTAAGTTTTTCCCAAGTCCTATTTTCTGTGACACAAAAACTTGAAACTGAGAGTTCTAAAACGGATTTATACATATAACTCGTAAATATCAGTCTATATATGGTTTTAGATATGGTACAGGTATGGTACAGGTTTATATATATATATATATATATATATATATATATATATATATATATATATATATATATTACCCTGGTGACTGAGGGAAAGAGTTAAAATGTTTAGGAAAATTGCAGCTGTATGAAGGTCTATTTCTTATTGTCTAACAAAGTAATGCAACATATTATGTATATTGAAAGGAATATTTAGTTAGAAGTTAAGAGTTAAATGTTCTGCTTTCAAATATATTCTTAAGCCGCAATACTTCACCTTTCTGTAGGATGTCCTTGGTTAATCTCTAAGAAAAAATAGAATATAAGGTAAAGACTATTTTCGATTTTACACGTAATTTGTTTGCGTTTACCTAAATATTTAATGACTATCTGAAAAAACAATTAGAAAAAATATTTATGAAATTCTGGCTTCAGTATCTGCATTAAATTAGATTGTATTTTCTTAATCAAAGGGCTCGTGTAGTGACATCTATCCAAGACCGTAGACTGGAAGAAATGCTTGGGACAGCTGCTTTAAGGTCTGCAATATACATGCACATGCAAACAAGCTCGCTCTTTGTTTGTATTGCCTTTGGTACTCATTGAGACTGACTGGAGCAAACGAAGACTTTGACGGACTGAGATAAAAGAAAGGACTAACACTTCATATAGATTAAAATTATATTATTATATTCTTTGAGGGATCAAACCTACCTCCGTAGCATTCCATGCCCTTGACAGTTAAGCTAGCGGATTCAATATCATTGTTTGTGTCCCTCACGTACACCTGCTTAACTGGTAGATAGCGTTTATCTTCTAAGTAGCCCTCGTCACTTCTCCAAATCGCATCATTGATCAAACAGTTGCAGGGTTTTCTTTATAAAACAAATGTCACATATGAGTGAATGTTGTTAGTAAGAATGTAAGAATAATGATAAATATGAATAACTCTGATACTGGAACTTACATTTAGCAACTGACCGACGTTGCAGTCTCTTGACCTCTCGCACATGAGGGACTGGAGACCACACGTACTAGTATTGAGTTAGTATTCCTTGCCGTATGACGAAAGATTGGGTGGTTAGTCTATCCAGGTCATTCACCCATTGAGAGGTCTCATGTTGAGACCGCAACGTCGGTCAGGTGCTAAATATATATAAGTTCCAGTATCAGAGTATTTCAACTGGAAAATCATGCGTAAGAGGATGTAGGGATTGATGTGCAATTTCATTGAAACAATGAAAGATGTGTCAAACTGAAAAAAATGTAAAAATTAATGATCGATATTCAAGCAATGAAAGAGTCATCAAAAGAAACAATATAAATCAAATATAAAGAAAACCTCCTGATTTTAAAAGTTAAAGTTCGAATCAGGGATGGGTATAGATCCTCATGGTTTATATCAAGGAGTTATAACAGACTCCCTGTTTATATTAAGCTGTGTTTTGTTGAGACATAAGTTAATTGCCCTGTTTACTTACTTTGGGTCATCACAGCGTCCCTGTTCAGCACAAGCGCACATAGAACTGTTGGTAGGGGCGCCACCCCAGTTTGACATCGCCCAACCTTGTCTGGAAACCCACCAATTCGGTTCATAAAATTGATACGCATGATTGCACAGAATCTGGACATACTGGCGACAGTTCCCAGAAACCTTGATGAGGCTTTCGAGCTGGGGCAAGGTTGGTTTGTAGGTAAAACCTACGGTAATAACTTGTATGCCTGTAGCATGAAACCGTTTTGGCTGGGAAGAGGCAGCCTCGTGTGTTACCAAGGTGATACCATGTCCTGGGAGGTCTTTTGATGTTGTGCACGTGACCTGAAATGGTGGCTGTTCACCTGGGCCGTCCGGATCTATGGTGTACACACCTTCGCTAAATGCTCCCCCGCCAAAGTGCCGTAACACATCTTCGCATGATCGAGGAACTAAAAAGGCAGTTGAAATACCATAAACGAATAGAGAGAGAGAGAGAGAGAGAGAGAGAGAGCAATGCTGTCGATACAGCAGGTGTTGATATTACATATATCGATAAGAAGTCTTAAACTGTGACGATTATGGTTAACGATTTCAACTTAATATGACCAGTTTTCTGGCAAAAAAGCTACTAAACGATAAAGTAAAATAAGCAGATTTGATAGAGCGGTACCTACCAAGGCTTGCATGTGAAGACCTATATTGGCTCTGTGCGATTAAGAAATAAAGAAGCAAAAACTTTGAATTTGCCATTTTGCAAACGAAATTTCTCGGTCTAATAATTATACGACGTGACTGTCGCTAGTTGGCAACAGATATGATGGACGAGAGAAAGACATGGACTAGATATAAGACAGAGAGCTCTGAGAACATGTACAGTTGCTGTTTTAACCACAGAGGTTATCAAAATGACCCCCTCCTACTTAAATGGAATTACAAATGCATCAATTTAAAACGTTTTTCAATCATGAAGATGCATACAGTTAAAAGTCGATTATCCCCTGCAAGAGAACATGTATCAAAAGACGGTGTCACTGTTTATTTATTCCTTTAATTGTTTGCTTGTTTGTTTGTTTGATTGATTGTTCGTTTGTTTGTATATTTTTTTGGAATAGGTCAGGGAGACGGGAACGTGGGGAAGACGTTATCTACCAACTTCTGACCTTATAAGCTCAGTGAGTGCACGTGCTATACTTAGATCTAAGTTTACCGTTGACATTAAATGCAATGTGCCCGACATAAAGAGTCTTAACCCAAATATACTCAACAAACTTATCAACATAAAATACAAGTAAAAAGAAATTTATAAAGACAATTTGACAAATGAAAATAAAGTTACATTTCCATTAAAAGTCATAAAAAACACACACACAAAAAATTAAAATTTACTTGTGAAATGTCCTGAAATTTTCATAAAAGTGCTTCGTTATGAAAGTGTTTGGTGTTGCAACCCCGCGTAATTAACAAACGCAATCATATAATTGAACAAGACGAAAACAGCATCCCTATCACTGTTACACCTAAAGACAAATGTGCTATGTAACTGAGGCACAAGGCAGCAGAAGACCGTTGCCTTCTCTAACACAATTTACTACACAATAACAATCAACCAAGAAAAAGAGTGGATGAGCCCGACAACGCCACTGCGGCTGCTAACAACAATACGCCAATAAGTAGACAGTCGTCAATGCCAGTTTCACGCTAGAGTCATCACAACGATCAAGGCGGCTCTCAAGCTGATTCTATGCGAGACGAACTTACATGTACAAGACTGGCTACTTTTCAAAGGTGAGTAAAACTGTCCCGCTTAGCTACAAAATCCATAAGCATTTATCGAAAATCAAGCAGAATCGCATGACAAGGCAAGGTCCACTCCCAAATGACTGCAAAAATCAAAACGGCACTGGTTCTTTTCCCAAGACAAGGAATACATTTCAAGACTGACGACCCTTTAGCAGTACATGTAAGTAATGATATCCAAAATTACTACAGAATTCGTCAACATTTAATGCAAAACAGACTGACAAGCCAGCTATTCTGAGAAATAAGACCTCACTTGCTGATGGGAGATGTGCGGGTGATGTTGTAAGCCTGTCTTGGGGACTGCTTGATAGATGTATTCTTAAATTATATAAGATAATAACCAAACTAAAGCAATTTTAACTATATCAATTTCGAATGGCCTGTATCCCCGTTGCACTGATTTAAAGAGAGAAAGTATGTGATCAGTAATGTTTGAATTTTATAAGGCGCCTAAATGAAAATTAATATCTAAATACATGTATTTATCATATTCTCTACGAGAGATACACGACTCTCAAGTAAAATTTATTCCTTTCTATACATAAATATTACATTTATCTCCCTATTTACCCTAGCTATCTAATTGTTGCTTTAATTTGAAAAAGCTAATCGCAATTTTACATATTTCTAAATGGTGTGCTGTCAAAGTCAAGCTGTCAACTTAATTGCACTTATTCTAAACAGGGGGAGATTTGTCTGCCGTAGAGTGGTTGTTGCCCATTCTCCCCGTCCCCATTACGGGTTATATCTACGGCTCACCCTATGTATAGGAATCTAATATCAGTATGTAAACTTATGATTAATATATAAAATGTATGGAACATGGATAAATGTTAATGCATCACCAAAATACTGAAGGTTCAGATATTATCATCATTTACTAAGTGTCTCTACTATGTGATCAAGCGAAGATTTTCTCCTTTAAATTTGGCTTTTCTTTGAAAGGTGAAGCATGCACCAACTGCTATAACCCTACCACACCTACTGGTAACACAACATTGAGCACTGCCTTCTGGTTCTATGAAATGTGTAATTTCCCTTAAATCACCTTTAATGAGGTCCATCATACACTTCACTGTATTATAAATATTATTGCAGATTAACCTATTTCTTGTATAACCTATTTCATGTATTTTAACGACGCAAGCATCCTAAGCTACTTGAACCTCTTTTGATCGAAACTTACTAGCGGCATTATAGTGCCAATAAGTACAAAAGAGGACTAAGAAACGTACGTATTTGTTCAAATGACGTGTGGTATTTTTTAGTTATTGTGTAAAACTATTAGAAACCTGTTCTACTTTCAGACCTATAAACTGTTGTGCACTGTTGTGGAAAAGTGTTGTAGGAAATTCAAATAATATTAACACATATTAACATCTACCGGGTATTTCATCAGTAATTTGTAAGAGAGCTGGAAATGTTTAACTGCAATAACTGTACATATACAGTATGTACCCCTGACTAACAATTGCTATATTGTAGCTGAGATTTCTTCCAATAAATGAATACAGCCATGAATTTTGTTGCGTTTTCTTTATTGAACAGCCACAAGTAACTTTCGTTCCTTTTATATAAATCACTTATCTAAATAAAGATAAAACATAAAATAAATATTAAACATTTTTAGAGCAAAACAATCCCTTACTGTTGTTTTATTCACCACTCACTGGCATCTGCTATTAAGCTCCTCAACCTTTTATCGCCATTTTAACTACTTATTAAAGTGACGTAACTAAGTCATTATGAAATTGGCTTGGTTGATGACAAAAGGTGCAATTAGTTGTCAGTGATTGCTTTTGAATGTTTTATGTTTAGGAGATATCAAAGCATTATAACAATATATTCCATCATACAAAAATATTATTTCATTTCTTTACGGATAAAATCAAAAGCCTTTCAAAAGGAATTCCCGGGAATAAATTCAGGGGCGGATCCAGAGCTATTTTCTGACAGTCTTCCAACCATCCTCCAATTTTGACCGTCTTCCAAAAGAAAAAATTAGATACCTGTCAATGTAAACTTGAAAATTTGACCGTCTTCTGGAAGACCCAGAAGACGCCCTAAATCCGCCCCTGAAATTGTTGTACTTTTAGTTGTGGTTAAGTAAGTGTAGAAACGGCGTTGCTAACAGTTCAGGCGAGGGAGATTAGACTGCGTTGAAAGGGTTTTACGCGATACACATTTTGTTCCCAACCTCAAGCATATTTTTTCGCAATACCTGGTATGGAAGATTTTCCAAATTACTTTCTATAAAAGTGCAGTTTTGCCGTGTTTCGTGTAAAACCTACTGTGCCAAGATTGTGACTATATAGTTTTGCTAATAATGGATGTAACTGAACTGAGGATTTTATTAATGGCTTAGATATAACAAAACATTCAACATCTAAAAATAATGAACTGAGCCAAAACACGCAACGAATTTTTTTTCAACTTTAAAAACCCGGAGAAACAGCCAAAATAATCGCAAGCTATTTATTAACCTATTTAAAATAAATATTTTAGACATTTTCGGAGACGTTACACGTCATGCTCGCTCCCTGGCAAGTTGCAGATTTTCTGTTTTAGGAAAAATATACTACACTGATTGGAGACAGTGGGATGGTCTGCGAGCAACAGTTACGACGGGTTAAAATTAAGTCTATTTACGTTTTTGTGTGAGAACCGATAAATATAGTAATTATAGTAATTATTTTTTGCTAGACTGATGGGAGTAAAGTTCTAGCTCGACAAACAATTCTTCCTCTCACTTACTTTAAATAAAAAACAAAAATATTGTTGAATGGACCAACATATTGAGAATAAGTGTTTATGAGGAAATAGATCATATTTAACATATCCAATTTTAATACATGCAGAGCCATTTCACAATAAAAGCCTGGTCGTGATCATCCAGAATCATGGTAATTATACTTATTTTGGAATTTTATAATTTATCATTTTGATTATAATTACTTCAAATTGAGAAATAAGTAAACAAGATAACCTCGACTAAAAGCCCCAATCAATACCCCTTATGACACTCGACAAATTTAACATGAAGAAAAATCATGCAAGAACGTTATGGAACAACACATGCCTCATTACCCAAAGAGTGGGCCCAAACTTCCAATATTAATTCCAGCGCACTGATCATCAAAGATTTTCAGAACCTGACCAGCAATGGTAAATACTTCGCAGCAGAGGACAGTTGTGTCGGGGAACGCGTACGTGGAGCTCTGTGCAAAGCCGCAAGGTGGAGCCACCTTGTAGAACGCCACGATTCTTCGTCCAGGAGGGGCTAACTTCACAGCCGCATTCTTACACATGATTTGTCCATAAGGCATCCACGTGGTATTAATTAAAATGGCATCAGTCAGCTTTGTGTTCGCAAATCTTAACTTTGCTAAACGTTCACAATCCACTGGGCAACGCTGTAACGCATTAACACACTGGGGGGACAGGCCAGGGGTTACTTGGGTGACTGGGGGGATTTGTCGGCGCTTCTTGGTGTTGAAGAACTGGGGGTAGACATCTGTGATCTTTGTCGTTTTGGTGCCGTCTTCTAGCCACACGTCGTCGTGACCCTGACCATAGACAATATCTGGTAGCTGCAGGAGTAGAGGACCCGGCGTGGTGGAATTCTCCTCGGCGTGGAGGCTGCACCGGCACCTTAAACGGTGNACCTTGTAGAACGCCACGATTCTTCGTCCAGGAGGGGCTAACTTCACAGCCGCATTCTTACACATGATTTGTCCATAAGGCATCCACGTGGTATTAATTAAAATGGCATCAGTCAGCTTTGTGTTCGCAAATCTTAACTTTGCTAAACGTTCACAATCCACTGGGCAACGCTGTAACGCATTAACACACTGGGGGGACAGGCCAGGGGTTACTTGGGTGACTGGGGGGATTTGTCGGCGCTTCTTGGTGTTGAAGAACTGGGGGTAGACATCTGTGATCTTTGTCGTTTTGGTGCCGTCTTCTAGCCACACGTCGTCGTGACCCTGACCATAGACAATATCTGGTAGCTGCAGGAGTAGAGGACCCGGCGTGGTGGAATTCTCCTCGGCGTGGAGGCTGCACCGGCACCTTAAACGGTGAAAATAATTTTCTTTCTTTATTGAGCACTGAAATATGTACAGGTTACTCTCTACTATACTACTAGTTTAATAGCAAACAGTATGTGTAATACAAAATGCATATGGCATTATGACTGGGATATAAAGCAAAGGATAAAACGGCTATTGCTAGTGATGTGTGTATCGTTTCTTCAAGCTTTCAGTTATAATATATACAAAGTATGGTAAAATAAGAAGACACGAGCAGACACGCCATCAAATTTTTAAAGAGTTCTAAGTTTCACATTTTGTATCCTTCTTGCACTGGATACTGATGAATAGAAATTCACTCGTTACCATTTAAAGTTTTCGTAAATTGGTTGAATGGAGTTATTTCATCAACTGTCTTGGGTAAGGGTAACGGGTCCTGATTGTGAGGGGAAAATTGCATAAATTATCAGACAAATTACTTTGTTGAAATGATGTGTTAGTCTCACCCAAGTCTCTAACCCTAATACGAGAATTACGCAAAAGCTTGAAAATTAGAATTGAAAAAAAAAAAAAAAAACGTATGGATTTGGAAATTGATAATTGTATAGGCTACTTGTACCGTGGTGATTTGGGGACAGTGTTGGAATATCCAGAAAAATTTCAAATTACTAGACTAACGCTTATTGTCTGACATAAGTCAATTTATTATATAAGCTATTCAAATTAAAATGTATCGATACTTTAAGAGTTTAAAAAATGTTCGGAGTTCTAAAGAATAGACATATAAGCATCAATACTGCACCTTTCTCTGGAGAGTCCTTTGTTTATCTCTGAGAAAAAAAGGAACAAACATAAAGAATACACCGGTATAGCACGGACAACTCTTGATTTCATTCGTATGATGTAATATGTTCATATCAACATTATTTTCGCTATTAATTTCCCACATGTATACGGTTAATAATATATTTGCACATATCAAATATCTACGGCTGTGCAGCGATAATTGCAATATATCCAATCAACGGGGCGTATATTTTTCTTAATCAAAGAGGACGTGTAGTGATATATATATATATATATATATATCCAGGACTGTAGGATGGGAAATGCTTTGGGCAGCTGCTTAAAGCCTGTATTATACATGAATGAAGGTGCCTGTCTGTGGCACTCATCCAGATTGCATCACTGCGGTAAGTTAGGAGATAGGAAAAGTCTAACACTTCATAGAGATTAATGTCAAGGCACAACTGCCCCTTGCAACCCTTAGCCCACGGCCCTGCCATCATTTTTGGGGTTCACAAACTTACCCCCGTAGCATTCCAGGCCTTTGACAGTTAAGTAAGCCTCTTCGGGGTAGTCATTGTCTGTGTCCCTCACGTACACACGTGTTACTGGTAAATAGCTTTTGTCTTCTAAGTAGCCCTCGTCACTTCTCCAAACCTTGTCATTGATTAAACAGTTGCAGGAGTGTCTAAATAAAGAAATGATTGTATGAAATTACCACATACATTTTAACAATCCAAAAACCTCGTGATAAGAAAAAAATGCATTTGCCGATTTGCTGAAAAATAATAAAATTCTTAAAGATATAAATTAAAAAATGGTCTGACTTAGATAAATTCCCATACAAATAAAAGCTTCTGACGTTGTAAGATTCGGAGTCAAATAATAAAAACACACAGTTTATTGTTTATTCTGAGTTTTTATTGTGCCGAGAGGTACATGTACCTACTTCGGGTTATCACAAGTTCCCTGTACACCGCAAGCGCACATTTTGCTGTTGGTGGGGGCACCGCCCCAGTTTGACATCCCCCTACCTTGTCTGGAAACCCACCAGTTCGCTTCGTAAAATTGCTGTGCATGATAGCACAAAATCCTGACAAACTGGCGGCAATTTCCGGAAACCTGGGTGAGGCTTTCGAGCTGGGCCGTGTTCGGTTTGTAAGTAAAATCTACAGGTACAACTACACGGCCGGAATTGTGGAACCGTTTTGGCTGTGTGGAGGCACTCTGGTGTGTCACCAATGTGATACCATGTCCTGGGAGATCTTTCGACGTTGTGCACGTGACCTGAAATGGTGGCTGCCCGCCTGGGCCGTCCGGATCTATGGTGTACACACCTGTGCTGAATGCTCCCCCGCCAAAGTGCCGTAACACCTCTTCACAGGATCGGGGAACTGAAAATGTAATTAAAACCCTATAAACTGAGAGAGAGAGAGAGAGAGAGAGAGAGAGAGAGATAGAGAGAGATAATGTCAATGATGTCAGTATAATTATGTCTTAACCCACAGTACAATTATGAAGATGTTGATTTTCATGTGTCAATAAGAATCCAATAACTGCAATCCGCGTGCTTTTTAATCAGTTCAGCTTCTTTTGTGGCTTACATATCTAACCTAACATAGTGCATTCTCGTTTCCTAGACAATTAGACGAAAAAAAAATGTACAAAATGCAACTATTGCTGATCAAGTTACCTACCAATGTTCCCATGTGTGGGACTAAAAACAGTTTGCGCGATTAGGAAATTAAGCAGGAAAATATATGAATTTGCCATTTTGCAAAGAGTCGTTTCTCGCTGTCACAGTCAACGGCGCATCTGCTGATGGCCGGTGACTTATATAGAAGAAAGGAGGAAATAAATAGTCTGAATATAAGGCAAGACACCTTGTGAACATTTTCAGTTGCTGTTTTAACCCCTGGGCTTATCAAGATTAACCCCCTCCCACTTATTTACATTTGGTGATAGATGTTAAAGGAAGTAAAAAGTATTAAATTCGACATATTTTTCGACCTTGAAGCTGCACAGTTAAGAAGTCGATTTCCTCCAGCATGTACACACGCACTCGTGGATTCACTAATTAATTATCTTTTGTTTGTTTGTTTGTTTGTTTGTTTGTTTATATATTTTGTGGGGGTAGTGCAGGGGACGGGTGTGGGGGGATTTTGACCATAGAAAAACTTATTACTTTGGGCTCCAAATTGACTGTTCATCTGTAGGGCCTACTTACATTGAGCTTGATTGTCTATATTACAACACAATACGCTCGGCAAGGAGTTTCCGCCTTAATGACAACTTGTATAATACAGAACCGTGCTCTAATATTGTTTATGCTGAGCCTACGTTTATAAAAGGACTTTATAAAAATTCTGAAATAGTTAACCGTCGTTTCTTTACATAACTTATTCATTCTATTAATCTGTTTATTTATTTGATGGGGTACAGCTGACATGGTTCAGTAAAATGACTTATCAATAATTCAACTAACTAATATTTAGGTAAAATGCGCAAAATGGAGATTTCATCCTACGTTAACACCCTATAGGTTCTAGAATTCGGTATTGCCGGCTCGATCATGATTTTATATGTAACCCATATGATACCGCTCTACCGTCGTTTTTACAGTAGAAATAGGGTTGTATACCCGAAATAACAGCTCAAAAGTGAAAGACCACAGAAAAACACACCACCTATGAGGCAGAACAAATGAGGAGTTTTAAAGTGAAAGGCGCTATTGGCTTGTTTATTGAGATAAAGATGTGGAACGCAATGCAAGATGTTTTAAAGAGTGCGGCAGCAGGTTCAGATACAGCGTGGTGCACATACAGTTAACACAGGACAAAAATATTTTTTGACGGCAACATCGAATTTTTAGATGGATGTCTGATCAAGGCTACAGAAAAAGCCAAGACATATATCTTAAGGCTGCAGAGTTCGATAAAAGCAGGATAAGAGGGAGTTGCTGGTACACATCACTGTCGGCACGTTGAGGGCAAACGCCAGGAAAGATGCACTTCATAATAAAGTGAAGAGTAATCTGTTGCAAGCCTGGATGTGCATGCTGTTAGCAACAGTTTGTTCAGAGAAGCGTGACTAGAGGAAAGTGGTAGGGGAAGTCGAGTTCACATAAATATTAAAAAAAAAACAGCCTGGCCATAAACTTAAATTTTAACTTGAATCCTTACTCTTATGTATAAACAGGAAAGTTGTCGGAGATTTAGTGTGACGTGACTGTCAACAGGTGTGCGGGCAAGGACACGTGCAGATATATTTATCTATATGTTTGACCTTTTATTGAGGAACACCGATAGAGATGATAATTGAAATAAGCCAATCAAGATCTAACAAGTTTCTTTATGGCAGTAGCGGTAGAGGGGTCACTGAGCTAATTTCTTAATGCCTCAACATGCTTTTAGAAAGTAGGGTAATTGGTGTATGCATAGAGTGTTGTGCACATAAACTCTGGATGGTGACGAATATTCTGTTTCAATGCCACTGATTATCAGTTACAGTCCCGAATTGCTATATTCCCGATATGCTATATTCCAAGATATGCCTTTTCGTTTTCTGTTAACGCCAAGCTAATTTAGACATATATTAAAGAGGACATGCTATATAACCCTGCATGTGGCCACAATAAGATACGCTGAAAAATAAAAGAGTCAAAGCATTTTTATCATCACGACCTCCAGACATAATCGTTCAAATCCACCTTCTCATTAATTACATACACGATACATATGGATAAGACGAAAACAAAATCCCAATCACTGTTACATCTAAAGGACATAACTATTTCATTTATGCAGCAAAGTAGGTAACTGCTGCACTATAGACAACAGAATGGCCGTTGTCTTCTCTAACGCAATTTACAACAGAATTTCAACCCAGCACAGGTCTGGCTGAGCCAGACAATGCCACTGCGGCCGCTAACACGACACCAGTGAGAACACAAGCTCCAAGGTCAGAACTACGTCCAAACCATCGCGACCACCAAGACGACAATAATATTTTATATCTCATCTTGATGCGTTATATCTCGAACTCCTTGTTTGCGAGACGAAATTTCATTGATTTTTCACAAGTAAGTTGTGATACCATACATGCTTTCAAAATTCTCCAATAACCTGCGCGGGGAAACTTTAATGTATTATAAATATTATCACAGACAAACCTTTTTTTCATATATTTCGCTGGAGCAGTAGTCGAAATAATTTACTGGTACAGAGTTGATTAAAGATTTAAATGTAAAAACTGATAGAATAAGTGTTGAATGTTTTTTATTTTTTATGGATATCAACATTTTGTATTATATATTATTAATTAAATTATTTCTTACACCATTCATGCGCACTGGCCAGCTTTTGAATTTACATTAAGTTAATTTCCTAAACCTTCATACAATCAGCATTTATAAAACGCATCTAAGAAATGATACAAGATATCGAATTTGGCCATTTATTTTTACCATTTCCTTGAAATATGCAGCTATTTGAACAAAGAAAACAGTTGAAATTGGGAAAATATGTTTATCTAACTTTATCTTCCAGCTCTGTGGTGATACTCCCGACACAAAATAGAACTGTCGGCAGTTTTTCCGCCGTCTGCTCAACTTTTGTGTTTCGTCCATGCGGACTCGTCAGGGGAGCCAAGCTAGCAGAGATAGGTTTTTACTGTGCCCCTGATCTTGGATTCACAAACTGGGCATTTTCGGAGAGAGGGAGCGCATGGATTGCAACACACAAGATGAGCACACGGCAAGAGAACAACCTCAGCGTCCCTCACCTTACATATTTTACATTTTCTCTGTTCTTTTAAAAGTTTATTTTCTTCCCTTAGTTTGTCTGATAAGATAGCGGGGTCAATGGGTTCAGGGGGGTTATTTGTATTTGCGGAGGGTGCTGTGTCATTTGGAGGTGTTTGGTCTGATTGACCCCTGGCTACTGTGACATTTTGGGGATCATTTCTCAAATTGGTATCCCCTTTGCTATCCCCCAGTTCTTGTTCCTCTTCAATTCTAAGAAGAGCTTCTATTAAAGATTGTAGATTAGGGAAATCGTCACCAACAGTTGTAAGTCTATTTTCTATAGCCCTTCTTACTAAATCTCGGGAATAACCCATTGCTATTACTTTCTGGACTGATGGTGCATCTAATCGAGCTTTTATTTCTCTTGCCTCTATCTGATGGGTATGTGGGGACCGACCTGCTTGGCCGGAAAATTGGCCGTTGGCGGAATTGCGTTGCAGTATTTCTCTGATGAAAGACACTCCTTTACATTGTTTCACATACCCACAATTTGGGAACCAACGCGCATGCTCAGTCCATACGTCATCCTGTGGCTCCCAGTTTCTCAGTCCCCCGCCACAGAAAAAGCATTTCACATTGTCCCCAAAGCCGGCGTAATAGAACCCCGCTATGGAAAGTTCTCTTGGTGTTTGCCGCTTACTGATAGGCCAGTTTTCAAACGTCAAAATCCTGTTCTGTTCAATTGCAAACTGGGGATGTTTTGGTCGTTCAGTCACTATTGGGTTATCGTCAAACAATAAATTGTTCTGCTGGCTCGAACTCTGCTCTCGGTTTTGTCTCTGTTGTACAAACGAACACAGCGGAAAATGTTTCAAATGTTCTCCAAATGCGTCATCGCCCCTGCCCCAAGATCTGATTTTTCCGCCGCAATAAGCACATTTTACAATAACTGAAGTCCCTAAATAAAAGAACCCCGCTTTTGCGAGTTCACTGGGTCTGACAGGGCAACTGTCTGGGAAATTAGCATAGGTCTGCATGCGAGTTAACTCATTCTCCCTCATAATCAACATAAAATCCTCACTTTCGCGGACACTTGCAAGTGTCGGAGTAGTAGTGTTAGAGGATTGGGAATTGTTTTGGTTCGTTTCAGTCGGCGGTGACCTGGCGGCTAGATTGTCAGTAGTGTCAACGCCGCCTTGAGCGTTTGGATTAACGGCAGACCGAGGCGTCTTACTGGTGCCCTCGTTATTTAATACTGCCCTTTCATTGACACTGTTTCTCA